AAGTTCTTTCATAGTAGCATTTCTATGGGATTGGCGTACTAGCATGAATGGCTTCAATTATCAGTGTTCACTGATGACGTCATTTGACTGGCCCTCTAGAGGCGAAATGACACCAGGAAAAGCGGAAGTTTGTCGTCTGCTTCACAGCCCGTTTTATACCCGATATTTAGGGCATTTCGCAGCACATACAAATTGTTTTTATCGACAGAATTCATTCATAGATCTCAAATTTCATGTACAGAGTGTCAAAAGCCACACCTCTGCTCCCCTTTAAACATACCGCATATCTTAATAAATAAAAATAATAAAATAAAATGTGCAAAAAATCTACCAGATATTTTTGATAATTGCGAAAAATGGCGGTAAAATGACGACGTTTCCCTCGTGTGTCGTCTGCCAGTCGCAGAAGTGTTGACGTAAATATCTGTTGCACTTAACGCAATATTTACGATTGAGATGACGTAATTTCCCGACATAAAGTAAATCGATAGACAATAACAATGCGTTGCCAATATTTGTGTAGAGAATTTCCTTCTCACTATTCCCCCGGGTTATGCACGCCTATAAAAACATTTAGAAATGGTTTATGAGCATTATGTCTGTTACAGCTACGAATTCCTCAGTCTCCCCATGTAGGCAGAAAAGACTACCTCCATGGTCTCCCTCACCTACAAATCCCATAGTGTCGCCATACTCACGGTAGACAATCGTAAAGTAATTTGATTCGCGGGAAATTAACCCGATCGTGCACACATGTTGTCAAAGTAAATAGATTGCAGAAAAGATTAAGTTGACATCTGACTTTCTATTAATAGTAACTATTTTGTCACGTGTGTGGTTATGCCGATACTATTATTGTTGCGAACGGTAATAAGACGACTAGTCATATCAAAGGTTACTTATTTTATAATGCGCCGAAATGTGGATTCGGTTTTATAACGCGATATACGGAATATTTATCCGGATGCGTTCGCAGCTTCCACAACACAATGGTATGATAAATAAATAATGAGCGGACATGAGCGTTCTGCGCATGTGCGGTAAAACGTACGTTTATATGTCCGTGAACAACAGGTTTTGTACTGCATTAGAGCACACATTAATCGAACATTGAAAGTATATGTATATTGGAAGTTCTGACTTTTTTGAATCTCGGGAAATAT